TTGATATTTACTTACTCAACTTGAAGCTTGTGTTGAGCTATTACTTTACCAATTGCTTGTCTCTGGTGCGTTGTGGCAGATGCTTGATAGTCAACCTTCAACTGCACACAGGTATTGCATACAGCAAAAGTTGATGGCTGAAATAATCGACATTAAAAAAAGAGTATGGAGATTGCAGATTAATCACATTGAATACCGTAACACAAAGCTCTCAACATACCATAAACTTTGCCCATAATTTGGTATTAGCTTTAGATCAGCTTAGAAAGGCTACAAAGTTTTGATTACCTTGCCAATCTTATACTGAGGAAAGTCTTTTTTCCACATCTCTATCATATATTCATATGAGATGTGGTCCTTGATATTCTTCTGTTCCATCTCATCTTTGTACTGCTTTTACAAGCTCAGTTTTGTGTAGCAGTAGGGCAGATAAATAGTATCATCATTTGGCATGTAATCCCTTATCCTTTTAAAAGTTTCTGCAATCCACGCATTTGCATCTGTTGTTTTCTTTCTGCGTTTTCCCTTGCCAACATTTCCATAAATTACGGTGACTAGTGGTGTGTCCTTTCTTACCCTCCATAAACATTCATCGTATCTGTGTCTTGACACGTTTAAGATTTTGCAAAAAGCATGCGAACATAGTTTCTTGGCACACAGACAAAGTTCTGTGTTTAGCACCGGTTTGTCTAATTTCCAGTCATATGCTGCATTTGAGCAATCCTTTATAACAGTCACCAAGTGCTGTAACTGAGCTGCTTCATTTTTTTCCGTAAAATTTTGTTCTAAGCTAGCTATCTCGTTTGTGGTGAATTTCTGCAAGCAGTTGCAGAAACATTTAAAAGACATCACTGCCAATGGGTTTCGTAAGGGTTGATTTATGCGCCGCTTCTTAGGGTGTTTCTTTAAACCCACTTCATTGTCACCAGTCTCGAAAATTTGTTCTGCTTCATCACCGATTTCACTGCTAAATCTTAGTTCATTACATTGACCAATGCCAACGTCACTTTCACCAGTCTCTGAAACAGCATCGTTATTCATGTTGATGAGTTAACGTAATTGAAGATTCATAGAATTGAGAGAAAGCTGATCATTATACGCTAGAATAGTCAGCAGTTCTGACCGTTATGTGTTTATGCGCATTCTTGTACGCACCAGTTACAATAATACAGAATATTGTATACAGAACTTGCATCTTTTCTTCTGCCTCTCGCCGAAACTCTTGTCCCGCACCTCTTTGTGCTTTACTGCATGAACAGACTGAATAGAGGTGTGTGCAAATTTTCTAATTGCCTCTTGCGAGAATTCAGTCACTTGACACAACTTTAGACACGTGTCGAGAGTCACATTCGTAGCTTTCAGAAGGCTTTCACGAGTCCCTTGAATCCTCACTCTTCCCACAATTCTGTCTCTTACGAGTGAGTCTTCCAACACTCCGAAATTGCACGTATTCGCCAGCCCTCTTAAAGCCGTTGAATATTCCTCAATGCTCTCTGTTTGGTCCTGATTCTTCGTAAAGAACCGGTATCTCTCCACCGTCTCGTTTGACGTGGGGATGCAGTACTTTGCAACTGCGTCGTGCATGTGCTGTACAGTGCGCAACTCTTCTGCTACTCGGACGAGCAGAGTCGGGTATATCTCCCTTCCTCTCTTTCCAATTAGGTACAAGAACATTTTTTCTTTACCCTTTCATCCTTCCCTTCTAATGCCAGCTCCATGTACAGTTCAAACTCCTTCTACCACTTCTTCCAAGCTTGAGCCAAATTTCTAGCATCAAAGTGTAGTGTTCCTGAAGGCTTGAGCTGTTCCATGTTTGCCTTGCTGTAGCTTGTTGAATCAGAGTAGCAATAACACAGCTTTCCTTTCAGCTATTCTTGAGGCACACACACGTCCACTTCTGACACCATGTTACAATACTGATATACGAACTGTATTTAGAGTTATGTTAGAACACCATGCTTTATTATCGAGCATCTGGCTGAATAGAGCTCTAAGCATGCACGAGGTAAGAAGAGGCCTTCTGCCACATGGCAGTGCCTTATATACCCTAAGCCTCCTATAGTTCACACCAGGTGGCGTAGACGTAACAAACGCTCAGGTGTTTGTTCATAATAACATGTGTTGTGACAATCAACATGAATAAAGATGCTGTTTCAGAGACTGGTGAAAGTGACGTTGGCATTGGCCAATGTATTAAACTAAGATTTAGCAGTGAAACCGGTGATGAAGTAGAACAAATTTCTTTTTCTTTTTTGCTGCAAAATTTCGGACAATTCAGCCTTGTTATAATTAATAGCATGCGTGCTGTTTGCAAAAAACAAGTACAGCAAAAAATGGCATAAAAACCTCTGTTGCATCGTATCTGGTGACCATGCACATTATGTACTGAGACGAGTGCCTCTAGGCTAGTCGTTAGATTGCTGTAACCTTCTCTGTCTTCTTCATAAGAGCACTGCATAAGTCGCCTCCTGGTGCAAAGCGAGGGCAGTGCCAACCTGAGATACAACCGGCAGTAGAATCGAAGAAAGGTCGCTTAGCTATGAAACCAGTCTATCAAAGACCATGCCGCCCACAGTCTTACCTGTGGTGCCGATCTCACGTGAGAAAACAAAGCATGGCAGCCGAGAGAAGAGGTACCTTGCAAAGCTGTTAAGTCTACAGCATGCCTCTATGTACAGGGAAAGAAGTACAAGTTCGCCGTGGCCGCACGCACCTCCAGCAACCAGCCAGTCGGTCTGTAGAAGTACCCTGGTTCCCAACTGGTACCCTAGTACCCCCTGGGGGTACCTGGGAAGCCTCTTAGACAATTTAATAAAAGTAGAGCTATATAATAATCAGCGGGTGATTCAGGCATCTCTATCGACAGTGCCAACACATCATGGTTTTTGGTCGAGGCAAACAAGCGACAAAGTGGTACCCTCCGCGTGCCAGCGCAGCAGCACAGGCCGCAGGGAGGAAGGGAAGCGACCCTAAATGTGCCAGTGCAACAGCAGCAGCAGGGCCCACGCAGCATGGCCCGGAGGAAAGAGGGGGAGAAACCCTACGTATGCCAGCGCAGCAGTAGATTTGGTGCAGTCAACAGATACGCAAGGCCTACCCGGCTATGGCTCGTGAAGCTATTTCCGTTCTAGTTACGTTTGTAACCAGCTACCTGTGTGAAGCAGGCTTTTCAGCAATGGTTACAATCAAGACAAAAGCCCGTAACCGCTTTGACATGCGCAGAGACATGAGAGTCAGTCTGTCAAAAACTGAACCGCGGTTCAAAAAGTTAGTTTCCTCCATGCAGCAGCAGTCTTCTCATTGAACTGTCGTTTAGTGCACAGTGCGCTTGATTGAAAAAATTCGCTGTGTGACTGCATTAATAAAACATGAACATGATGTCAAAACATTCATGAGAATATATCAGTGTTGGTTCTTCATCTTGCTTATACAGGGGCGTGTACAGGGGGCTCCAGGGGGTCCGGACTCCCCCCCCCCTGCTCGCGCAGAAAACGCATCTAAGGGGGTCTAATTTTAAAATTTTGCCCAGACCCTCCTTCGCGTGCTCGCAAGTTTGGGTTACGGTTAGACCCCCCCCCCTTGGTATAAATCCTGTACACGCCCTTTAAATCCCTTACACGTTATGGTGGGCGAAGGGGTACCAGGAGATAGCGTAAACAAATTAGGGGGTACGGGGAATCCAAAAAGTTGGGAACCACTGACCTAGTAGAACAGGAACAGTGCAAGCGTTAAAGCTAAAGTCACACTGGGGCCGGACTGTCCACGGATTACCGCGGATGGGGCAGGATCTCCCCGGACCGTAAAATTTATAATCCGTGGCGATCCGGG